TCCCAAACAGCAAAGCAAATGGCTCGATTCTGCTCATTTTTTTGTTCCTCCTATACAGTACACAGTGATACTGAAGAAGGAAAAGCCTCTTCTTTCTAAAAGGATGCTCCTTTTAGAGCGTGCTGTCTGGATGCTCTACAAGGGGGTTGGAGACACAGTGGGTATCAGAGGCAGTGGGAGGTATGGTGGGTTTTACCTCTAAAACACCAAATCTGGGGTTTCCACTGGAGGGCTAACAGCTGGGGATCAGGAGCACTTGGTCTCTAATTGAAGTTCAGTCTACAAAGCAAAGCTTTTTTTTTTGTATAACCTAAGGAGAGAATTTAACACTCCCATACAGGTATATATCACCAAAAATTAACCGTCAGAGGAGGCCCTTTCCAGTTTACTTTGTCATTTAGGAAGCGGGTTTTAAACAAGAGACTCTTCTATCGAAGAAGTGAGCTCATGCTGGTATATTGGTACCTGTGAAAATCCAGCAGCGTAACAGTGGCTGCGGTGGTGAGCCCTTAGGCAGTCAGCAAGGATTTGCCAAGGAGCCTAAGGGCTGATACACCCTTGAAACACAACGTGATTTAGGTGCCTAAATGCATTAGGCTGCTTGGAAAATCCCAGCCTTTGAAGTTAGAGTAGGCACTAACAAAAAATGGCTAAAAAAATTTAAAATAATAAAAGTCAGGCTAACGCTGCTGTGAAGGCAGTGGGTGCTCTGAGTTTTGCACCTGAAACAAGACAGTGGGAGGTGGCCACCAAAGGCAATTGAGAAGCTCCACCAGCATGAGGGTTCAGAAGAGCTCCATCCCTGATGTCTCCTGCCCCATCAGGAATTGCAGGATGGCCCCTCCAAACCATTTCCACTTCCAACGGGTGTCTGCTTGTGTGGGAATGATCCAGGGCATTTGGCTGGGGACATCCGCCTTGTGAGAGTGTATGAGGAAAACATTAAGAATCTCTTTTTTTCGTTGATAAGAATCTTAGGACATTAAAAGTTGGACAACTCATCTTCATTATTTCTCTTTAAAGTTACTTATGAATTGAGAACAGCTCTGCTCATATTTCTCTTTTATTTGCTACCTCCCCAGGCTAAAGTGTTGTCTATTTATCTTACAGATTAGGTTATTTTTTATGGGGATCCTGCTATTATATTTCACCTCTAACTTTGTTAGTTTGTGTTTGATATTGAATTATGTTGAATAAAATGGGCAGCTCAAGGATATTTTTCAGCTTCATCCTGAAATGAGGTTCTTAATCCTGTTTCTGGGTCTGCCCCTGTAGCCCAGCCCACGGGGACAGGATTGGGTATGTAAGAAGGGCAGCAGAGGAGTGTTTGTATTACCTATGGACTTTGCAGGGTGAAGCTGCAGGAGAATCGTGCCTGTAAAAGCGGTCGGTTCATGTACAGTGATTTTGGAGGCATCTCTTTAGAAATGCGTTCTAATAATATTGACATCATCACAAGATAAGATCCAGGACTAGTTAAATCACAGCCTCGCAACTCAGTGCTCCTTTGGGGATTAGAAGAAGTCGCTGAGCTGTCACTCTAAAGCTGATCATGGGCTCGTTTAACTATGTCATCCCATAAGACAGCCCTTTCAATTATGTCAACCTGTCTGCTCTCCCTAGACTCTAATTTTAGAGCAGCAGTAGCTAATATTCTTGGAAAACTGATCCGCCTCCACAGATCTCTCCTCTCTGTCTGCTGCTGTTAACGGAGTATCCTGTGGGGAGATCGGACTGCTTTACTTCCCTTCCTGTAATAAACCTAATAAAAATAGGTACCATTAGGTTCCTTTGTGTGTGGTCTCTTTAAGACACTTATCTGAGCTATGTAATGGAGATGTCACTTCTCCTCCACAGAGGGATCTGGCAGCACCACAGGGTCATTGCAATAAAAATAAAATTCAGTTTTAAAAGCCTGGTACGAATTATGAGCCGAAAAGTGGGACGATGGGATTGGAGTTGAGAGACCTGGAAGAGGCAAATGTGAGCTGGAGTCACCCGAATGTTAATGCTGCAGCGGTGGCTCCACAGCTGGAGCAGCAAGCAGGATGCTCCCGGATGGCGCAGGAGTACCACAGGCAATGAGGTGGCCCTGGGGACACCGGGGACAGGGGACTTGTCCATGTCTTCTGGACAGTGCTGGGAGGATTTTGGGGCACACAAGGCAGAGAGGAGGTGGATGGACCTGGCTGTCTCGGCCACGGGCATCTCTGTGCTGTGCTGCCCATCGTAACACACCTTGGTGGGAAGGGAACAGACACTGCCCTGAGAGATAGGATGGAGCCAGCCACATCCCTGGCTCCCCATCCATGACATGTCTGTAGCTGGCAGCGATGCGGGACAGTTGTCCCCCTGCCATGCCATGAATGTCCCCCTGCCCTCACAGGCTGGCAGCACAGAGGAAACAAAGCCACCCTTGGCCTGTCCCGTTTGGGTTTTTCATCGTGTTTGCCATGGCATTCAAAAGCAGCAAGGACTTTCTCCAGCCATGCAATTAGAGCTGTCATGACAGAGTGGATGGGGAAGGCCTTTGAAGACCTTCCCTCTCTCTTCTGGGCAGTGTGCCAGTCCCTTCGGCCGGGTCAAGAATCCCTTGGCCATTGCTCCTCCGTGCTTGGCCTCCACCAGGCTGGACTGGCCATACGGGAGGACAGTGGTGTGCAGGTCTGAGGCTGTCAGAGGATTTTCTGTTTTCTGCAGAGCAATTCTAGCCTTCTCCAAAATAATGACTCTCGGGGGCCCTGTTTGAAGGAGCAAACATCTGTGAAGCTGAGGAAGGCTGTGGTCCTCTTCAGAGGGGGAATAAACCCCTTTAGGATGCAATGCGGGTCCTAAGGCAGACCATGCTGGCGAGGTGGGGTGGATGGTGGCATGTAACCCCCAGCAGAGCCACCAAGAGGCAATCCCAGGTCCCACGGGAGAGGGAGGGACAAATTGCAGAACCACAGGAAAAAGCAATAGCCCTCCTCCCTGAAAACAAGGGATCTAATCACACGCTGCACTGTGTGATCCTTCCCCGAGTAATACGGGGTTCGGCACTTTCCCCCAGTTCTCAGCAGCCTAACCTGTCAGGAGCAACCTTCTAAAAATATCACTAAAGACCTTGGCTAATTTCTAGAAAAGGAGTAAAACGGGTGGAGGGAAAAAGAGGAGGCAGAGAGACCGTGCAGACACAAGGCAGGGAGGTGACCCCCATCCATCCCACCCAGCATGACCACTCTGGTGGCAAAGGCCAGGCCTTCCCTTTGCAGATCAGGCTATATAAAACCCACACGCCGCGGGCTGCTGGGGAAGGATACCTCCCCCAGACTCCAGCAAGTTAGTTACACGTAGCTTTCCTATCATAAATCCATGTTGGCTGCCCCTAATCAAATTCTGCTTCTCAAGCAATTTCCCTTGCTAATTCCTCCCGAATCAGTTCTAACCCACCTATCCCCCTTGTCGCTAAGCTAGCCAGCCTCTAATCACACGCTGCACTGTGTGATCCTTCCCCGAGTAATACGGGGTTCGGCACTTTCCTCCAGTTCTCAGCAGCCTAACCTGTCAGGAGCAACCTTCTAAAAATATCACTAAAGACCTCGGCTAATTTCTAATCCTCGTTTCTATTAAGACGGCTGCCTGTACTATTGGGTTTCTAGACTTGGGATTTACAGTCTTCCTTAAGAGTGTCTAATCTGCGCAGAGCCATTTCTGTTGTTATCCATACGCAGGCTCCTCCCTTCCCCACCATAAAACATGATCCCTTTGGCAGTGGCTCTCCAGTCTGCAGGGCAGCATCAGCCAGCCAGCGAAGACACCAGCCTCTTCCGCTCCGCCAAGCTCACCCCGCCGCTTTTTGGCAAGCCTTCCCGGGGAGATCACTGGGGTCCTGGTCCTCTTGGGCGCTGGGTAGGTGCTTTGTATGAGAAAAATCAGCCTGCGAGCCCAGCAGGGCAAGTGATTTTCTTTGCACTTCCCAAGTTCTCGAGTGTTGTGTAAATAGTATAACGGAGCTGATGTACAGACGCATAATGGAGCGAAGTTCTTGAAGTACCTCATATAACTGGACTTTCTATTACCGATTGTATTTAGATTTTTTTTTGCTGTTTCCTCCTTCTTTTTAACACTCCCTCGTCCCCAACTGTCAAAACCAACCAGGTCGGAAGAACAAAGTGGGGGAGAGTGCCATGCTCTGGCTGCCCCCCACTGCCCTGGTAGACACTAGGTAGCTGGCTCAGCTCAGACAAGGGAAATCCTTATAATCACATGCCATCAGCCAAAGGAATCTGGTGGAAGATGCTGCGTGACTGTATTGTCAAGTACCGGGCACCTCTGTGCACTAAACAGAGCACCGGCTGCTAAGGCTCTCCCTGGGCTTGAGGCCACCAGGGTTTGCATTGAACGCAACTCGAGAGGCAGGTTCTGGAGCAGGGAGAAGGGCAGCTTCAGCCCAAGGATGGGACCATCAGCAGATGAACAGCGCGACGTCTGATGGAAACATCTACCACTGCTGCAGAACGCTCCTCTAGGACACAGCTGGAGAATGATGGCTCTACCTTACACATTCAAAGCAGCGTCGGCCTGGTTCCTTCAGCTGCTGGTTGTACAGACATGGTGAGATGAAACCATGTAAATCAAAGGACAACACTGCTTTGAAGGCAGATGGCCAGGGAAACTTTTACACTAGAAACTTGAAGCTGTCTTTTCATCACGAGAGCAGTGAGGTTGTGGGACAGCCTTCTGATGGGAATAAACTGCTTTTAACATTGGCTTAGGTTTGTTTATGAAGGCAATTACATGAAGTAGGTAAATGTTTAATAGAAGCTTGAATTGAATCACCCAGAAGGTCTCTTCTCACATCACTCTCCAAAGTCTATGTGCCTATAGCTGTGCTGGGCAGAGGGGCAGGACTCGGTTCGCTAAGCACAGCACTGCCTTTCAAACTGCTCCCAGACCTGAGCTGGTATCTCCCTGTGGGGCTACATCACACCCCCAGGGTGTCCCCAGGGCGGGTTGTGGGTGCTCCCAGCGTGGACGTGGCACAGCTGTCCAAGAAGACCCCATGCAGCAAGCGCCACAGCGGAGGAGATGAAACCACGAGTTTGCCCCTCGCGAACCAAGGACCTGTGGCAGACTGCAGTGCTCTGTCATGGCGGTTGTTCTTTGGAGGAAGGGTTTTAAATAGGATCTTCGGTAATTTTATGGGTCCAGGTGGGAAAATTAACGTGTGGGAAGGCCTGAGAAGTGTGTCTGGCTGATGACGCGGTATCGTTTAATCCAGCAGGACTGTGCTGTTGGGAGGACCATAATGCCGGCCTGGCCGGCTGTAAGCTGGCACGCACAGCGGGAGTCACGCGAATGCCACGTGGCAGGGTGACGCGGAAGATGGATGAGTGGCACATGCCGTTCCCAGACTTTGACAGCACAAATTGGCCTTTGCAGTCGGTCACCACATGCCTTCCTAAAGCTCCTCTTCAATCTCACAGCTCCACTCTGCATCTGAGTCATGTACGACAGGAGAAAGTCAGGTGTTTTCTGGGGAGAGCAGGGGCAGAACAACATTTTGTCATTTCTCAATCCCGTAACAAATGTCACTAAATCAATAGTCCTCACCTCCTCCATGCGAAGCCAGTATCGTTACACACATTCAAAGATCAACATTTCTAAACTACACTTTGATCTTGAGGTGCCTCGTTACAAGTGAGATAAGCATTTAAAAACAGGGACCGACTGGGAAACTTTTTATCCAGTTGACTTGCGCAAACCCACAGCTGCAGCGGAGGCCTGTCCACCCAAACCAGTTAGCACAGTCCACTCAAACCAGCTGCGGTCCACTGAGGCTTGTCCACCCAAACCAGTTAGCACATTCTGAAGTCCTGTAGCGGGGCCCTGAGCATCATCTTGCTGCGACGAAAAGACCCTCTCTGACCGAGCTCTCTGCATTTATTTTAAAGTTTGGAAGTAACATGAGTTAAGCATCGCAATGCAGAGGGACGGTGCGGCAGCCTAAGCCCTGATGAAAAAATGAAATGAAAATGGAAGAGGCAAAGGGCCGAGACACCCCAGCGTCCCCTGGAGCAAACCAGCCCAAGACGGGCTTTTCCGGGGCACTGTCCCCCCTGTCCTTACTGGAGACAGGTGTCCCACGGCCAGCACAGCCCCGCGCCCTCCCCTTTAAGCGCCTGTACAACAGGTTATTGACAGGGTATTGACAGGGTATTGACAGGGTATTGACAGGGTATTGACAGCACCGGGCCCGCTCGTTGACAGGGTATTGACAGGGTATTGACAGGGTATTGACAGGGTATTGACAGGGTATTGACAGGGTATTGACAGGGTATTGACAGGGTATTGACAGGGTATTGACAGGGTATTGACAGGGTATTGACAGGGTATTGACAGGGTATTGACAGGGTATTGACAGCACCGGGCCCGCTCGTGGCACGTGGACATGATCCCCTGGGGAAGCCGGGGAGGCCCTT